AAGACACCAGAATACCAGTCTAGGGTATTTTATCCCGAAGCCTAAGTAGGGATAAGTCAGCGTCTAATACATGTTACTGGGTAGCCTATTCCCATAATAATGGTGAAGTCTACGTATTCGAAGTCGTAGTAGCGAGTCTCAGAGAATTCACTCTCTTAGCACAACGTTACATGCGGAACGGATTTAGACAATCTGCATGCTAGCCCGACTGAAACGGTAGCCGATAAAGGCTAATCAAATCCGTTGAAGGCTGGGGGTTAGCCAAAAATCCTAAAGTCAACACCTAACACGTGTCGTCGGGTAGCCTATTCCCGTAACAAATGGTAAAGCCTATGTATTTAACATCATAGCACAAAGTCTCAGAGAATTCACTCTCTTAGCACAACGTTACATGCAAAACGGATTTTGACAATCCGCATGCTTGCCCGATTCAAACGGTAATCGGTAAAGGCTTATCAAACCCGTTGAGGGCTGAGGGTTTGCCAAAAATCCTATGAGTATTATGATCAATCATTTCAAACAGAATGAGGAATCATGATAAAGATAAAGATAAAAACCAGATCCACTAAGAGAATCAAAAGTCAAAGTATTCAGCAAATGAAATCATACATCAAGCTCATGGCTAAAAATCTGCTGACTAAACTTAGACAGCTTCTCATCATAAGCTTGCCTAAGCTCATCCTGCAACTCGGCTCTGATAGACTCTTCATTTGCGGCCAAAGTCTTCACAGCAACCTCTTCTGTCTCGACCAGCTTCTGCTTCAGGGATTTCAACTCATCAGATAAAGCAGTGTGGGCTTGCTGATCCTGTACCTTCGTCATATGAAGAATACTCAAAGTCTTCTCTTCTTCACGGAGTTCTCTTCTGAGCTGGTCTATCTTGGTCTCACAAGAGGTAATGGAAAAATCAAGCTTGTCGAGTGAAGATGATCTAATAGCAAGGTTAGCCTCAACTCGGTCTACCCGGTCCCGCTGCACCTGAATCTCGAGCTTAGCAAAAATCCGAGTATCTCGCCATGTCTGTAAGCGAGCATCCAAATGGACAGCAATGAATGAAGAGGCACCTGCATCCCGGAGCTCGCGAAACATCTGAAGCTCATGCTCTAAGCAATCAAGGTCATCAACTATAGCCTTCGCCAGATCCGGGTATCCTGCATCCCTCATTGAATTTATTCTAGAATCAAGGAAAGGCTTAAACTGGTGAAGGAAAAGTCCGCCGTGGAAAAGCTTGCCAATCATAGCATTCACGAAGGAGAAGAAGGAGCGGACTTCTATATAGATGACGATCTTCTTAGGGTCATTGTCTGATAATAATTCCTTCACAAGGACATGAAGCCGAGAAGAAAGCCCTACACAAAAAGGAGAAATTCGTCAAAAGCCTTAATGAGGAAATAAATGACATTTCTCAATTGCTTAATTTATACCTCCTTCCCCTTGAGTGTAGTTGGTCTCACAGCCGGCTCAACAGGATCAGTCTCGACAAAAGCTTCTGGCAAACACAAAACGGAATTCTCAGATGCATTACATTATAGTTGCACTAGTCAAAAAATGGCTAGTCCTATAATTAACTTAAGAAGAGGCACGTACCTTCAGAAGGACCATCCTTGGGATTCTTAGGGAGTGTAGACTCAGGAAACATATCTTCGGGCATCATCAATCTGAGGAGAGACATACATGAAGTGGAGCATAGGAGTGTCCACAAGCAAACCTTCCTCGTCAAAATCATCAGTCGAGAAATCTGACACAAGAGAATATAAGTGCAAAAGAAGAATAAAGAGACTACGACCAATAGAAATGAGTTACCTCTTATGGGTGTGTTAGCCTCTCTATTCCCAAGATCCACGTTTGCCTCCTGCAATTTGTCTAAAAGAGCAAGAAGCATAGAGACAATTAGGGAATGCACGAATTCTGAATCGTTCAACTCCTTTGTGTGCCATCTAAAGGGTACACTGTTAATGGTAGATGTACTTGGATTCGCTGAATCGGGTCCTACATTGATGGTCTCCCTAACGTCGGCAGCTTCTGCAGGCTTTTCTACCTTGTATGGTGAGTCAGGCTCAACAGAAAATACACAATCATGAGGAGCAGGATCAGGACTCATCTCGCTATCCCCACGCTCTCCTACATAGAGATGGAAAAGCATGAGTCGAAGTTCTGAATGATCAAGAGGATGATCTATAGGGTAGATGTTACCTCCGTCGCTAGCAGGATCATCACCAGATAAATCCATCTCAGATGCTCGCGAATCTGCATGCGGCTTGTGGGCTAATCTCTTCCGCCTAGCAGCGGGGACAACAATCGAAGGTCTCGCCTGGGAAAAAGGACGGAATTCTTCATCCTTGTCAGCTGTGGTCCCTGAAACATCAAACAACTGTCAAGATTAATAATTCTAGAAGACAGAAGGAAAGAATAGGTAACTAACCTCGCTCGGAACAGTCCTCGTAATCTTCAAGATCTCCACCTGAAGCCTCATCAGCAGAATGGAAGATCTTCATTCCCTCTTTGTCAATCCGACGAGTCTTGTTCCGTGTCCTCTGTGACCGAGCATTCTCCCAAATCACACGAGAATCAGCCTGAGAAGCTTCCTCGGCCACTAGCTCTGCAATCGGTTTCACAGGGACAGTTTTATTAGCTGCTAACAGCCACCTGCAGCTTAAGAAGGTGAGATTCAACTGCCGCTCAGCACTCGGGAGACTGAACTTAGCACCAGTACAGTCCGTCACGGTCCACAGCCATGCCCGGAGACTGTCCACCAAACCGCCATGAGTCCGAAGCTGCTGACATGGATTCCCGACATAAAGCTGATCATAACCAAACTAGTGGACGAATCGGCAAGGTAGATACGGCTCTATAAAACACTGATTCCTCACCCGGAAGGTTAGATAACCCGGCCTAATGTTCACTAGCCAATTAAAGCAGCCGATATCTAAATAAGTTCGATACTCCCTCGGCTTCTCCTCATCAATCAAACACTTGCCATATCGGCTGAAGAACTGTAGGAAGCAAGTGGAAAATGCCCAACATTTATGGACCTGTAGCCGCTTTTTGAGGTTAAGGAATCTTCGCCCCTCCCACCTGCCATTCTCAAACAACTGTAGTAGGGGAACAGAGCGGTCTACGGTGCTAGGTACCGACATCATATCAGGATGATGAAGGACGAACCTAGCCATCAAATAAGTATATGGGAACTCCACCTTAGTAGAAGGAATGCGAGCCGATGGTACATCTTCTTTCTGTGTGAAAGCACTAGAAATCTGTCGAAGCCCTCGATGAATGTTAGCTACCATCACCGGAAGAAGCGAAAGTTCCTTTTTATAGGCAAGAGATATCACTGGACTGATACGAGACTACGCATTTCTTTAACCAGATAGCGAGGTAACCGGCAAGAAGGGCCATCGGCTGAATCGATGTGGTCGCATGCTATAAGAACGATTTAAACTTGGTCCCTGCAGGAAAGCCACTCTCGGGACTGCTAATGGTATAAGAGTGAGCATCGATCTTCTTCAACAGACCATTAACCTCTGAAGGAGTAAGCGTTGCCAATTCACAAATAGCTTCGCCAGAATTGCTCTCTAGATTTCTGAACAAATATCACGCAAACTGCTTCAGACTCACATGTGACTTAGTCCTTTTCGCTAAAGGCTCAGACTGCGCCAAAGCAATATGATAGTGACATGTGAGATCCCATAAAGTCTCGTAGCGGTCGGGCATGCGAGCCTTGAGCTGACTTAACTCATGGTTAGAGGGAAAGTACTCCTGATATAGCATCTGACCCATGGGCAAACCAGAAATCCTGTGCATCTCATGGAGAGCCAAGCCCAACTCTCCATGCTTAGTCAGAAAAGTATTTGAATCCGGGTTATAGTGCTCGCACAAAGCGAAGAACTGCTTCGCGCTGACAGGTAGGCCATACACGGTGGAACGAATGGCTGCATATAGACCACAAGCGTGCAACTCCTCGTTCCATCGGCTTAAGACATACTTCGTCATACGATCCCACCAAAGCTTGTCTAAAGAATGGACCCAGCCATAGAATCTGTGGCGCATCGCAGGAATCTCCCGTCCTAAGTCAGCGAGGCGATTCTTCAAAGTAGAAGCAGAAGCAAGAAATTCGTTACGCGGCGGTGCATCCAGCCCCAATACTCCAGGACGCAATCCAATGATATGACTCATGCTCGAACCTGGAGCTGCTTGATGAGTGATATAGCCACAGTGAACGCTCTCATGCTCCTCCGTCAAGCACCACGACATCTCCCGTGTCACAGCCTGACGCCTGAGCTCAGTCAACGAGCGGTGTCGAGGAATCTTCGGCAAATATAGGAAACCACCGCCGTTTTTATGAAGCCACTGCTCGGCGTCAATAAACACTGCATCAGGATCTCTGACGGAGTCGCCAAATAAAAAGTCAGTCTTCCTGAGAAGCTGAACAGAACTAGCATCCTTCACGAAAGGCGCATCCGTAATCAACTGTCGAAGAGCTCGATGTCCACCTTCCTTCACCACTTGGACAACCTCTGTCGACGTGCCCGGAGCAAACTGAAGAGTAAGCGGAATAGGTGAAAAATCATCGGAGGTTGAATAATACTCGTCATGACATCCGTCCACTGCATGAGATAAGAACGCTCTAGAGGGATATTCCACTGAAAACAAGCAATTAAGTGTTTGTTTGTCTCAGTTATAAAAGGAAGTTGAACTCATCCTACGAACGGATAAGATAGAGTCACTGCCTTATAAAGGGTGAGACGATTTGGCCACATTATGCACTTATAAGGTAGGATATATAAAAAACATATCCCTGCCTTATAAGGCACAATGCAGCGTCAAAACGCCCCCTTTATTTATTTTGAGATATGGTTTTGACCAAGCAAAACCCATCTTTAAAGCGTCGATCCTCACCAAGGAGAATCAAGGCTCTTCGCGATGGCCTCACCAAGGAGAACAAAATGGGGAAAAAGGATTAAATTGATAAATTACGAAATATGCTAAAACAAGGAGCTCACCAGCATACGAGGGAAGCACGCCATCAGCTGACGCAGCAGGGGACTGACCTATCGGGACATGCGACATGATGATCTGCAAAGTAAATCAGGGGGTCAGATACAAAAATTTTTTAGTTAGGGTGACAAACTCTAACCCTAAAATTTTATCCCCTCTTTATTATAATTAAACCCCTCATATCTCCAAATTTTACCCCCTGAAAGATGAGCTCGAGGCGTCAAATCACAAACCCTAACCCTCATATGCAATCCCACAAATTCATGTACTAAATTAAACATGAAATATGCCAAAATTATGGAGGATTTACCTGAGGAAAAACTCGAAGATCCAACAAAAATCAGATCTTGAAGGAGGCTCGAACCACGTGCTCGAGGGGCCTGAGAGAAATTTTATATATGGAGATTTTGGAGGATTTTTCAGTCTTAGATCAAAAGGAATGGTAGATCTAAGACAAATTTGAGAGTTTGAAGGAGTAAGGATGCACGAGGGAAGAAAAAATCCAAAAAAGAGAGCAAAGGGGGGCCAGCCCTAGATAGAGGAAAAGAGGCTCTTTTATAGCCTTGAACCAGTCTTGAACCGGACCAGACCAGGTTGAACCAGACCAGACCAGACTAAATCAGTTCAAATGAGGCTGAACCAGACCAGACCAGGCTGAACCAGACCAGATCTGGCTAAACCAGACCAAACCAGGCTGAACCAGGCTGAACCAGTCCTGAACCAGTCCTGAACCAGTCTTGAACCAGGTTGAACCAGTTTGAACCAGTTCTGAACCAGTTTGAACCAGATTTGAACCAAAACTCAAATTGGAGCTGAACCGAGTGTCGAAACGACTTCAAAACGACCGACGGTCCAGTCCCTTATTTATTCTGTAAAACCCCGAAAATTTGAATATAGTGTGATAAATAATTATAAATATGTTATATAGTGAAAATAATGTATTTTGATATTTGAGTATGATAGGAATTGATTTGAGATCAATTCAATGTATATTTGTGAATATATGAGTGTAAATACACAAAACATGCACATAGGCAAATAGTCAGAATTTGAGAATTTTGACTAGTTGAGAGTTTCTATTTTTTTCAAACTGATTCATTTAGAATATGGAAAAGTGTATAAGATCAAAGTTGTAGGTCTCTTCAAGACCTTTCCAACGAATCTTAGATCACCTCATTCCGAGATCAGATGAGAAAGTTACAACCTTTTTACCGAACCCCAGTCTGAGAATGACCCAGGAACCTGCGCAGTCGACCGCCGTGGTCGCTGCGGTCGACCGCGCAGCGAATCTGGTTCTGCCAGTTCTGTTTCGGGTCGGGTTTTGTTTATACCAAACCCGGTTGTTACCCCACTTATATATACTAGTTTTGAAGCTCTCAGAACCCTCTTTCAAACCCTAATAGCCTCAGCCCCCTTCTCTCTCTCCTCTCAAAACCCTAGCTCGGTTTGTGGCATTTTTGGGCGTTTCGAAGGATTTTCGGTGGAATTTCGCGAGATTCTTGGTGGATTCAGCGAGAGGAATCATTCTCCTACAGATCTAGGGCTTGGTTCTCATCAGAGGCGAGTAACATCTCGCCCAACTTCACCTCTTTTAATCCGGTTTTTATTGTGCCCAAATCGTATTTTGTGTAGATAAAGTAGATCTTATGGCATGAGGTGCCAAAAATCATATATTTTAGTGTTAAAAAGTTCACTAATGATGTTTAATTAATGAGATCTTGATCTGAAACGTTTTTATGAGGATTAAACCTAATTTTACTGTTTAAGAACTTTTAAAATCATGTTGATTTAAGTTTGAGATTTTTGGTAATGAAGTTTTAACTATTTAAACTTGTTTTTGACTGCCATACATTACTATTGTATTGTTAGGATTAGTTGGTTATTGATAACCTCGAAAATTTAAATGAGATTCGAGCTGACAGAAACCCAGACGGGGTTTCTGTCCGATCAGCGGTCGACCGCAGCAAACTCAGCGGTCGACCGTCGCGAGGTGTTTGCCAGCAGAACGTTTCTGCTATTTGAGCGGTCGATCGGAGTGACCTCTGCGGTCGATCGCCGCTCAGTTGTGAGCCCAGTGACTTTCGGCTCTGCGAGCGGCCGACCGGAGTGATCTCTGCGGTCGACCGCCTTACAGTTTCTATTCGCTTGTTGATCTTTGCTGTTCTTTTCGTGTACTTGAGAGTTTACCTCCTATGCCTCACACTAGTTTGTGATGTGTATATCTTTCCACATATACCTTTGACAATTGCACCTCTTTACTTATAGTCCATGTGTTGGGCATATCTTACTGTTGATCCATGTGTTGGATACTTATCATTTCGGTCCATGTGTTGGACACGTATTTTATTCAGTCCATGTGTTGGACGTGCATTCACATTTCAGTCCTCGTGTTGGACTATAATCCACTAAAGTCCTCGTGTTGGGCTATAATCTACCTCAGTCCTCGCGTTGGACATACATTGGTTAGATTTAGTCCATGCGTTGGACATTGGTTATATTCAGTCCATGCGTTGGACATTGGTTAGATTTAGTCCATGCGTTGGACATTGGTTATATTCAGTCCATGCGTTAGGCATTGGCTAGATTTAGTCCATGCGTTGGACATTAGTTATATTCAGTCCATGCGTTGGACACTCGTTACTTTCAGTCCATGGGTTGGACGTTTAATTTATATAGTCTATGTTTTGGACACTTAATCGTTTTCGGACATGATACTCATGTGAGTTTGCATGACACTTGTGGTGGCCTTGTCATGATTTCATTTATCGGTAGAGACGGGTTTGTATTTGTTTTATTTATTGTTTCTTGTATTAGACCTCAGGTTTAGTATTTAGGGATTTACAATTTGAGATACAAGGTATATACATGAGGGTTTCCTTGTTTGGATTATTTCGCTCGACGTACCTACGCTCGTGTTGTAAATTCCTAAATACCAAAACCCATTGTTGTTAGGACAAATAATTTTATATTATTATGTATTAACTGTATTTTCTGTATACAACGAGCCCTTTCCCTTGGGGTTGGTTGTGATGTTGCTCGCTAGCGCTTTGACGCTCGTTGTCCCTCCCCCTTTCAGGTAACGAGCCAGGAGCCCGGAGAGTCGCAGGTTGAAGGCGACACGCTTTAGTGTTCAGCTGGCTATTTTTAGATATGTTTTATTTTGGAGCTCCACTGTAGACTTTGTTTAAATGTTTGAGGACTTTATTCTAGATGTTGTAAAGGCTGTGTGCCTTATTTCCTTTACTCAGACTTATTGTATTTGAGATTTGATAAGAACTCCAGTTTATTCATTTCAGATATGGACTTTGTATTTCCATATGTTGGATGATGAAATATCATTTTGATCTCTTTCATCTCATCAGTATCTCTTGTATTATCTTTTACTTGCTTTTATACCTACACCTGTTGTTGACTCTACTAGAGAGATGTTAATTGTGATGGTGAAACATGTTATTACACGGTGTGGTGCATGGCAGGTTTGACATTCTTGGTTTCACCAAGGACTGCAGCCTCGCGTGAACCCAGGGGCGTCACAGTTGGTATCAGAGCTCTAGTTCCAGTATCCTTAGGATCATCCTGTGTCGAGTCGTGGAGCTAGGATAGAGTTTCTTAGGATTCATGTATAGGGTCCGATAAGAATTTCCTAGTATGAGTGAGGACGATATATGCGTATATCTCAAAATTTGAGAATTTTTTTTTATATGACAACTATTTTTGTATAAGTTTAAAGTATTTGTGCAAATACTATATGTTGTAAAAATTGTATGGTGATATGCTATTTATAGAAGTCTATTTTGACTCATAAACTCTTATTTTCTTATGAGCAGCGAGATGGCAGGACGTGGTAGGCCTCGTACTCGGAGAGCTGGGCAGGCAGAGTCACAACAGACCCCATCTGAGCAGCTCAATCCGAGCCTCGGCAGACTCCCCCCGAGCCGCAGCAGGCTCCTCTGTATTTGGTGGACATCATGGCTCCTCTTATTGCCCGGATGATAGCAATTGAGGAGCTTGTGGCGAATCATATTGCACCACCACCATCAGTAGCTAGAAAAGTCATTTCTCAAGAAAATAGGACGACTAAGTTTTAGAAGAACAAGAAAGGGCACCACGGAGACAAGGATAGGAACAAGAGACCTTGGTCTGGACCTCAGCAACAGTAGGGCCCTCATAAGAAGGGATCCCAACGGAATCAGAGAGCTCGTCAGCAGCGTAAGTTCCGGGGAGTTTGCTATAACTGCCGCAAAGCCGGGCACCAGGCATTTGAGTGTAGCAGTACACCAACAAGTGATCAGAAGGGAAATGGTCCGAACCAGCAGCAGCAGAAGACTGAGGGGCATGTTCTAGCAGTTCAGGAGGTTCCCCAGGGGCAGATTATCCCATATTCTCCAACACCAGCAACAGAGAAGTATTCATCCATCGGCAGAGTATATGCAGTAGTTCCGCATGATAATGGAGCAAGCAGATCAGTTATGGAGGGTACGTCCCTCATAAATCCTTTTCCCCGCCCGTATTCTTTTCGATTCTAGAGCTTCGTGTTCTTTCATTTCGTATGCTTTTATGACTAGACTCCAAATCGTAGCTCAGCCCCTAGACATTCCATTATCGGTTTTCCATCCCTTTAGGTGGGGTATCACTTCTGGAGAGCATTTGTAGGATGTGTATTATTAGTCTAGGTGAGTCGGAGTTTGTTATAGATTTGATAGTGTTGCATGTGTCCGAGTTTAATGTTATTCTTGTTATGGATTGGTTGTCATTCTGCCATATTAGTTCTGACTATCTTCATGAAGATAGTCAGAGTGCGAGCATCCAATAGGTCTAAGATGATTGTGGCCACTTCTCAGGTTGACTAATGCACCCGTGGTATTCATGAATGTGATGAACCGGGTTTTTCCATCCCTTCATGGGCCAGTTTGATATCCTCATGTTTTCGAGATCAGAGGCAGAACACGAGTAGCATTGCAGACTCTTCAGGAGCATCAGTTATATGTTAAGTTTAGCAAATACGGGTTTTGGTTATCAAAAGTTAGATTTCTCGGCCACGTCAACAGCAGAGAGGGCATGGCAGTGAATTCGGCTAAGTTTACAGCAATTCTTGATTTGGAACCGCCGAAGATGGTGACAGAGATTCGAAACTTCTTGGGTTAGCCGGTTATTACAGGAAGTTCATCCTAGACTTTTTGAAGATTTCGGCGCCACTTACACGCCTTACGAAGAAGGGTGTACAGTTCATTTGGAACACAGAGTGCCAGAAGGCCTTTGATATTTTAAAGATTAAGTTGACTACCATACCGGTTTTGACTATTTCGAACAGAACTACCCCACTCATGATTTGGTGTTAGCAGTAGTGGCATTTATACTGAAGTCACGAGATATTATTTATATGGAGTGCAATTCAAGTTGTTCATCGACCACTAGAGTTTGAAGTATCTTTTCTTCTAGAAACCAGAGGCAGCGACGGTGGATTGAGCTTATTGAGAACTATGAATTCGTGATTCTGTACATCCAGGAATAGCTAAGATGTACAAAGACCTAAAGAGACACGTTTGGTGGAGTGATATGCATAGGAAGATTTCAGAGTATATACCTAAGTGTCTTACCTGTCAGTAAGTGAAGGTGGAACATTAGAGACCTGTAGGAACACTTCAATCTTTTCCCGTTTCGAAATAGAAGTGGGCGAACCTTTTTATGAACATTATTGTAGGGTTGCCGAAGTCAAAGAAAGAAAATGATTCTGGTTGGATGATAATGGATATACTAATGAAGCCAACATATTTCATTCCGTATTTTTGGAAGGATTTCCAGGATTCATTTGGCAACAGATTTATCTTACAGTAGTGTATTCTACCCACAGACGGATGGTAAGATGGAGAGAGTAAATCGGATGTTGGAGGACATGTTGCGGGCTTGTGTTATTTACTTCCAAGGCAACTGGGAGGATCATATTCCACTGATAGAGTTCTCTTATAACAACAGTTATCAAGTGATAACTGGTGTGGCCCCGTATGCAGCATCGTACGGGAGTCCTTGCAGATAACCTATATATCGGGTAGAGCAGGAGGATATTTTAATGCTTAGGCCAGAGCTTATGAGATAGATTACTAAGAAAGTAACACAAATCAGAGAACAGGTTCTAGCCGCTCAGAGTGTTGAAACTTCATAAGTACTCAGACCCATTGTTTATTGATAGAGTAATTGTTTATATATATATATATTTTGTGATAACTGTATTTTCTCATACAACGAGCCCTCTCCATTGGGGTTGGTTGTGATGTTGCTCGCTAGCGCTTGACGGTTGTTGTCCCTCCCCCTTTCAGGTCACGAGCCAGGAGCCCGGAGAGTCGCAGGTTGATGGCGACACACTTTAGTGTTCGACTGTCTATTCTAGCTATGCTTTATTTTGGAGCTCCACTATAGACTTTGTTTAGACATTTGAGGACTTTATTCTAGATGTTGTAAAGGCTGTGTGCCTTATTTCCTTTATTCAGACTTGTTGTATTTGAGATGTATTAAGAACTCCAGTTTGTTCATTTTAGACATTGACTTTATATTCCTGTGTGTTGGATGATGAAATACTATTTGATCTTTATCGTTTCATCAGTTATCTCTTGTAGTATCTCTTACTTGCTTTTGTACCTACACCTATTATTGACCCACTAGAGTGATAAAATTGTGATGGTGAAACATGTTATTGCACGGTGTGATGCATGGCAGGTTTGACATTCTTGATTTTACCTTTGACTGTAGCCTTGTGTGAACCCAGGGGCGTCACAAAAATGTAGATAAATTTTACGTAATTATTTAATTTTTTTCGTGATTGTTATTATTTTTAATTAATTTTTAAAACGTGTATAAGATCAAAGTTGTAGGTCTCTTCAATAGCTTTCTAACAAATCTTAGATCACCTCATTCTGAGATCGTATGAGAAAGTTACAACCTTTTTACCGAACCCCAGTCTGAGTATGGCCCAGAACCCTACGCAGTCGACCGCCGTGGTCGCTACGGTCGACCGCGCAGCGAACCTGGTTCTGCCAGTTCAGTTTCAGGTCAGGTTTTGTTTATACCAAATCCGGTTGTTACCCTACTTATATATACTCGTTTTGAAGCTCTCAGAACCCTCTTTCAAACCCTAATAGCCTCAGCCCCCCTTCTCTCTCTCCTCTCAAACCCTAGCTCGGATTTTGGCGTTTTTAGGGCGTTTCGAAGGATTTCGGTGGGGTTTCGCGATTCAGATTGAAGGAGGATCGTTTTTGGGTGTTCATCAACCCCCCTCAGGCGAGTGACATCGCCCCAGCCCTTCACCCACGTTTTATGGGTTTTCTAATGATTTTTAATAAGTTTCTTGAGCCTAAATCATTATTTTGTGTAGATAGATGGATCTTTATGATATGAGATGTAAGAATCAAGTATTTTAGTTTTCAAATGCTCACCAACGATTTTGGTTAAAGAGACCTGATCTGAAATTTTTTTTTTTTTTGAAATCTGAGTTTTGATGCAAGTTTACTGTTTTCACAACGCTTCGATATGCATAAACATGTCTAGGGATTAAATGGTAGATCTTATAGAATAGTTTTGTTTTAGTCTTCTATGGTTTATGCATTATTTAACATTGTTTAAATTATGTTTATACAGCACTTGTACATGTTTAGGATTTAATTATTTGAGTCAATGCATCGAGTGGTCTCTGCGGTCGACCGCCGCACTGTTTGTGCATGTTTTAATTTTGGTGCATACTTTTGTGTGTTCGAGGAGTTGCCTCGATTATTTAATGTTAGATTTTAGTGATTTATTATTTATCTGTACATGTGAGTTGACTTTTGACACAAGCACCGATCCGCACAACGAGGCACGTGTGACATGAGATTATGTGTATCTTTTGTGTGTATATATATATTCGACACTTACACTTTGTATAATTTTACAGTTAGTCCTCGTGTTGGACACTCATTCCAGTTAGTCCTCGTGTTGGACACTCATTCCAGTTAGTCCTCGTGTTGGACACTCATTCCATTCAGTCCTCGTGTTGGACACTCATTCCACTCAGTCCTCGTGTTGGACATGCTTTTGTTATATTCAGTCCATACGTTGGACATTGGTGAGATTTAGTCCATGCGTTGGACATTGGTTATATTCAGTCCATGCGTTGGACATTGGTTAGATTTAGTCCATGCGTTGGACATTGGTTATATTCAGTCCATGCGTTGGACATTGGTTAGATTTAGTCCATGCGTTGGACATTGGTTATATTCAGTCCATGCGTTGGACATTGGTTAGATTTAGTCCATGCGTTGGACATTGGTTATATTCAGTCCATGCGTTGGACATTTGTTAGATTTAGTCCATGCGTTGGACATTGGTTATATTCAGTCCATGCGTTGGACACTCGTTACTTTCAGTCCATGAGTTGGACGTTTAATTTATATAGTCTATGTTTTGGACACTTAATCATTTTCGGACATGACACTCATGTGAGTTTGCATGACACTTGTGGTGGCCTTGTCATGATTTCATTTATCGGTAGAGACGGGTTTGTATTTGTTTTATTTATTGTTTCTTGTATTAGACCTCAGGTTTAGTATTTAGGGATTTACAATTTGAGATACAAGGTATATACATGAGGGTTTCCTTGTTTGGATTATTTCGCTCGACGTACCTATGCTCGTGTTGTAATTTCCTAAGTACCAAAACCCATTATTGCTAGGATAAATGATTTTATATTATTGTGTATTAACTGTATTTTCATATACAACAAGCCCTATCCCTTGGGGTTGGTTGTGATGTTGCTCGCTAGCGCTTTGACGCTCGTTGTCCCTCCCCCTTTCAGGTAACGAGCCAGGAGCCTGGAGAATCGCAGGATGAGGGCGACCCTTACTAGTGCCTATTTATCCTCTTATTAGATGTATTTTATTTTGTACTCCACTTGAGACATTTTTAGACTTAAGAGGTTTATGTTCTAGAGTTGTAAAGGCTGTGTGCCTTATTTCCTGTATCAGATATTATGTACTTTGAGACATGTTGAGATCTCCAGATTGTTATTAATCATTTCAGACTTTGACTATGTATTCCAGTTTATTTGGTTGAGGAGATGTGTTAATTTGATGTTCTATCATTTCATTAGGTATTTGTTGTAGAACCTTTTACTTGCTTTGTACCTACACCTATTGTTGATTCCTCTAGAGAGATAGTAATTGTGATGGTGAAACATGCTATTGCACGGTGTGGTGCATGCTTAGGATCATCCTGTGTCGAGTCGTGGAGCTAGG